TTGAAAACTGACTTATGACCATTTTTCAGACTTAAGAACTGCTGCAGCGTGATCAAAATTCAGATGCTTGGCAATTGACTCCTATTTATGACGGTTGCAATGGCCCTGGGCTCATACATTTTCCCTTTTGCAACCTTCTGACAAGCAAAGTCAATGGGGAAGCTAGATTCACTTAATCCTATTACTAACAACTGCAGTAATTCACTTAACAGCTGTGGCAATAAAGGTTGCAAAAATGGGACAAAACTCACTTAAGAACTATCTCACTTAGCGACATAAATTTTGGGCTCAATGGAGGTAACAAGTCAAGGACTGCCTGTATTTCCTGTAATGGTGGGGTTGGATTAATTTTTCATGTAATGAAATCAGTGCTTTCTATCTCTAAAACAATTTTGCTTCTGAAACCAGTTTCAGTATCCATTAGAGGTTGGTTAGGATATACCAGCCAACTATGTTGGCTCAGGAATTCTGGGAGTTGAAGTCCACGAGTCATAAAAGAGCCAAGGTTGCCTACTCTTGGGATATACACTTGGAATATGTCTCTGGGACAAAATAAGTTCTCTTTTTTGGTACTATAAACTGGTCCACACACCTCATTTTGTGGCTGAAATATCCTAAAATAGAAAATTGCAAAAACCCCAAGGGATCAACAGAAGAAGTAGATGCATATTCTACTAAAATAGCATACTTAATCTATTTCATTTCTGTTTGAATGCTCCAGAATATTGACAAATCATGTCGTGTTTGGATTCCTTTATGCCATATTATTTGTAACATAGATAGTGTATATATATATAAATTCATGTTTATATATGCTATAATTCAGTTCTTTGAATTCTGGCCACACATAACTGGAAGCAGTTTTCATTGAATTCCACTTCTCTGTAGGCATGAACGAAAGTGCACGTTGTTACTCAATTCAGCTAGATAAAGTGGTTAATTAACTTTCAATTAATCAAGGAATCATTGTATCGATCAGTGATGATTCTTCAATAAAAAGACTATTTTTTTAACAGAAGTATTATTGTATGTCAGGATCATCTCAATTACTAATTTAAAAAATCTATAATATTTAGCATTAAATGTTTAATCCAGAAGATTATGAAAGAGTAAGGCCAAGGGAAAAAAGGATTTCACTTAAACACAGCTAAGCTTTGCCTATCTATCAGGATACTAGATTCTGTGGACTGAAAATGTTTAAAAACTCTGGCTTAATCCATCAAAGGAAAATGAATCAGCTACGTGCCAATTTTAAGAGATTTTAAATTTCTGAATGGAGAATTTCAGAGTGCTGCTTTGAACTAGCAGAAGAATAATTGACAGTGGACAAGGGTTTTGGTTAAAAAGTTACGGACAAGAGGTTTCTAAATTAGGCTATACAGTTAGAGTCTGTAATTTTAATAATGACTTAGAAGTAGAATGTGTGTGTATACACACACACACACACACACACACATCGTATTACTTAGTTGGGTAATGAACATCTGTAAGCAAATAGTGTTAAATTTGTTTTTTTATTTTTTGAGAAGTTACTATATTTTAGAGATACCTAACTATGTTGGGGATTGGAGTACTATTCTTCCCCCCAAAAGAGGGCTCTAGTGCATTACTTAATAAAAAGAAACTTATCCCTAGCCTTCAATTTTTTTAAATGCCAATTAGAAGACATTGTTTCATACTTCATAAAATATCTTGCCAGTCCAATATATATATATATATATATATATATATATATATATATATATATATATATATATATATATATATATATATATATATATGCCATGCAGATCATTAAAACAGGACGTTTTTTAAATTAAAAATTATACTCTGCTCTAAAGATGCTTTCTCAAGAGGCAATTGGACTTTCTTGTTTTGAAGACGTTTTACTTCTTATCCAAGAAGCTTCCTTAGCTCTTACTGGATGATGGGGAATGGAAGGATTTATATTCCTTGCAGATAGCTGGTCATTTGCATTCTTTTAGGGAACCGTTGAGGCCACTTGGAGGTTTATCTGTGTCCTCAAGGAAGATCATCTGAATTGTGCAAATGGATGTGGAACCTTCTTGGAACTGCTAAAAGGATGTGTTGTAGACTGGAGATAGATGATATTGTATCCCTCCCCCTCTATTGAGAGAGTACTGCTCAATTTTGACGTAGATGGCCTCTTTCAAACCAGCGGTCCTCTCTGTCTAAAATCTGGACTTTGTTGTCTTCAAAAGAGTGGCCTTTGTCTTTTAAATGCAGATGGACTGCTGAATCTTGTCCTGATGGGTTTGTTTTCCTATGTTGTGCCATGCATTTATGAAGTGGTGGTTTTGTTTCCCCAATGTACAGAGCTGCACATGTCTTACTGCATTGTACTGCATATACCATGTTGCTTAGTTTGTGTCTGGGTGTTTTATCTGGGGTGGACAAGCTTCTGCCTTATTGTATTCTTGGGTTTAAAGTGTATATGTATGTTGTGTTGGCTGAAGATCCTCCTGAGCTTTTCAGATATTCCTGCAATGTATGGAATGACAACATTGCTTTATTTATTGTTCTGTTCTGTTATGGAGGAGCTCCTGCTGGGTCTTTTTTGGGATTTGATGAAGGCCCAGTTGGAATAGCCACACATTCTGAGGGCTTCCTTGATGTGTTTTAGTTCTTTTTCTTTCCCATCTTTGGTGGTAGGCAGGCCATCAGCTCGGTGGTGTAGGCTTCTGATAACTCCCATTTTGTACTCCAATGGGAGGTGAGAGTCAAAATGTAAATATTGATTTGTGTGTGGGTTTTCTGTAAACTTCAATGTTAAGGCTTTGGGACACTGGGATAACCATGACCTGGATGACTGAGAATCTCCATAGACATTTATACTCTGCTCTATTGCATCCATGCCACTCAAAAGCAGTTTGCAGAAATTAAATGTTATGTTAGTAAATACATGAGTTATATTGTTGTGATCCATCTATTGTATCCTGGTTTAAAAACAGTGCCAGGAACTTGTGTCCCTTCAAAATGTCTGCATCTGTTTCTCACTGTTGACTCCCACATGAACTGAGGAAGCAGTAGGTTTTGTACTCATTTAAAAACTAAACCTTTTGAAATATATCGTCTTCCACTCTCCTTGATCAGCCTTGCTTATTGTAGGTTAAAATAGTTTTTTTTCACTCCTGGGATTGAGCTTCAGACCCCTGAAAATGGATTAGACCAAATAGTAGTCAATGCTGCTAGATTAAGAACAAGTGGAAAAAAAAAGGTGTTTCTTTTGGCATGATCAATATTTTCTGATAGCTTCTTAAAAACTAAAACACTGTTTTAATGCTGGTAGGCGTATTTAGCCCCAATATACAAAAGCTGATTTTCAAGACTGAAATATTAGAGAGTCTTAAATATTAGAGCTTGCAAAGTGGGAGTTGAGAGCAACTTTGAGAAAGAGGAGCTTCATTTGCATTGCCTCATACTATGAAACATTTTTTTTTTAAAAAAAAAAAGTTGTCATGGCTCAAATAAAAATATTTTTATTTTGGCTTGAATGCATAGGCTTTTCCAATTTGTCAAAGGCCCAGAATTTTTGATACTCCCATATATTATTTTTTCAACCTCATCTCGTTACTCTCACAATTGTTTTGTGCCCATTGAAGTTAATGGACCAAGTTAATGTGGGGAAGACAGAAAAATGCAACTTTTAAGATTATATTCTAATGAATTAAAGTCACTGTCACAGATTAAGAGTATTGATTCATGCGGTCTTTTCAGACCTTGCATAAATAGTCTTAGTAGTCCAAATAAATCTTTTAATTTTATTGATTGATCAGTATGAGATCAGATATATTTTAAACATTTTGTACAACATTTTGGGCAGTTTTAATGGAAAGTCAGTTATAACTATAATAAATAAATGAATTATTAGATGCTCTCCCAGAGTGTAAGAGCTGAATTTAATCCAGGTGAGGCAAAAAATAATAAAGTTACATTGGTTGTTTTGTGCAACTTAATTTGAAAAGCCTAACAAATAATAATTTATCCAACTGTTAGGCTTAAATTGCACAAAACAATTAGAGTAACCTTGCTCTTTTTTTGCCTCACCTGGTTTAAAATATTTCTTGGTACATTCTAAGGACCTCTGACACTATACTCAGTAAGCAAAGTATACAACAACAACAACAACAACAACTTTATTGTCACTTTGAATGTACACCAATTGGCATACATCAAAATGAAATTTCGTTGCATACAGCTCTCAAAGGGTCACCACCTCCGATATACACTCCTTGTTTGTGGCCAGCTCAAGTTTCAGAATGTCAATTTTAGTCTCTAGGGAGCAAACAGGACAGATAGAAACAAGCTCCATGTGGATTCGCCCTCAAATTAGCTTGTATTCCTTCACGACAACCTTGCCTCCTTTCCTTTTTCTGATCCTGACTCTTCCACCTTTTCCTTAGAGGCCTTGCTTGTATAGATTTCTATCTCCAATAAAACAAAACTGTATATTTCAATATTCAGTCAAAAAATTAATATGTAATAGAGACGGGAGGAAAAGAAAAAAGAAAAGTCAGGATTAGGATTAAAGGTATTGTCGATTTACAACCACAATTGAGCCCAAAATTTCTATTGCTAAGTGAGACAGTTGTTAATTAATAAATATTGCCCTGTTTTACAATCTTTCATGCCACAGTTAAGTGAATCAATGCAGTTGTTAAGTTAGTAACACGGTTGTTAAGTGAATCTGACTTCCCTATTGACTTTGCTTTTCCAGAAAGTCACAAAAGGGGATTGCATGACCCCAGGACACTGTGACTGTCGTAAATATGAGTCAAGCATCTGAATTTTGATCACATGACTATGGGGATGCTGCAATGTGAAAAACGGTCATAAGTCACTTTTTTCAGTGCCATTGTAACTTCAAAAGGTCACTAAACAATCTGTTGTAAGTCGAGAACTGCCTGTACTTTTGAGCGTGGTAGGTATGTAAAAATAAATAAATGATTTTTTTTACAATTCCATCTCATTTCTCACAGGCAGGCATGGCGTCCCCGGAGATTCCTGAACAACTGATAATTGCCTTGGAACCAGAAGCTGCATCAATTTATTGCAGGAAACTCCGCCTTCATCAGATGATAGACCTAAGCAGCAGAGCGCCAGTCAATGGCTACACTCCAAGTGAAACTATTGCCTCAGGCTTCACGCCAGGTACCGCCCTTTTAATCAGACTTTGATTGGATGATGCATCTAATTCCTGCACATTCCACACATTCTCTTACCGAAGTATTTAGACAAATTTTCTCTCTGTAAGTTGGTCTGAGTTTGATAATGGGGAAACCAAGAATGAGGTGCCACAAATAAAACCCTCACTTGCTTATTAGCTTTCTCCTGGGATTATGAAATTTACACACAAACACAGGTGGATGTGTGTTAAAGATTCATTTATACCACTGTAATCAAACTAAACTGTTTGCAGTTTTAGAGAACAATAAACTGCTAATGGGTATTATTTACTGATTTAACTTAAGTAAATGTTTTAAGAAATGTATATGGCTGTGCAGCTCAAACACTGCAGCTCTGAGAGGCATAGAACAAATTTAGGAATAGGTGTCAAATGAAAATAAACATTTTAATTAAAATTTAGTAAACAATAATGCACAGTGACCCAAATTTACTGGTTTTCTTTATTTCTTTATTTGGAAACTATGAACTCCAGACAGGAACTTCAATCATCCTGGCTCCAGGGCCCAAGGATATGCCTAATTATGGCAAAAAAGATAATATGTGAAATTGTTTTCCAAAACTGGAGAATAAAAGAAAAAAAAAACCCTTGTTTTTCCTCATTCTTTAACCAACCATGCTGATTTTTGTGAACAAAGGAAAACATAAATGCATTTCAGATTACATAATCTGGACCACTGCAAACTGGAAGAGGTTATAATTTCAACCTGAGAGAACCTTCCTGTCAGGAATTCCCAGTGAATCTCTTGATTCAACTTATTCTGACTGCCTAGGGCCTTTCTCTTCATCTTAGCTGTAAGGGGGGGGGGGGGAGGAGAAAACAACAACTAAAACTCCAAGAACAATGATAATAGTTTCTTTTTTATTTTGTTATGTTTGGGATTGATGGGAGTCAGGTTGCATATAAATTGATGATGATGATGATGATGATATTGTTTGGCTTAGGATTCAGCAATCACAAAATGCCCATTGAGCAGAAGGCAATTTTTCCAAGCAGGATATCCTGTTTGTTTTGTGGACCTATGGCCATTGCTGGAGATAAGAATAAGATGGTCGTCTTCTGTTTTCCAGCATTCCTGTTTTCTTTGAGTTTTTTCAAATCAAAATAATCTTTAAGAAATAAGATGGGAAAAGGAGACTTAATGAGTGCAAAGGGAGTGCGTAAAGACAGTTTGTTGTGAGTAGGCACCATGTTGTGCATTTCTCTCCTATAGATTAGCTAGGATTGACTAGGCAAATGATCTGCCCTAATGTCTTGACAGATTCTTTTATTCATAGTTATTTATAAATTAATAGTATAACTAATAACAAAATATTGCAAAACCACTTTCAGCAGAATTTGTTTTGTTTATCTTTATGGTATGTTTATGGCAAGTTTACAATAAAAGGTTTGGTTGATATAGAATTAAAAGCTTTCCAACTACCATTGATGTCTACTTTGAGTCAATGTTTGAAAGAATTATACCAAGCGCTACACCATTTTGGGACTAGAGTTTTGATTATCAGAGTATGGGTTGTAATTCGTAACCAAATGATGTCCAGCCCACTTTCCTGCATCGGCTTTCTGCTCCATATGCACACAGCTTTGCTTTTGCTCTTTTATACTCAAGCCATTTTCTCTCTGTGTCACCTCTAGCAAAAGAACACATTCGACGAAATCGACAGAGCCGCACCTTTTTGGTTGAAAATGTCATAGGAGAAATCTGGTCCGAGCTGGAGGAAGGTAGTGTCTTTTCCCTTTGCTCTTGCTGGTTTTGCATTGCCAGCGGAATTGGGTTCTCTGTGAAACGCTTGTCTTGTTCCCTTTGGTGTGCCTTTAAGATTATTTGATTCTAATAAATGCTGAAGGCCACATAAAGGCATATTTGTATATACACGTCTTAAAAATTCTAGGCTACTGAACAAAACTTCTGTTGTTCCTTACTGCAGTTACTTCCATACCCATCCATTGCTTCCCATAATGTGGGCATTTCTAGAGGTGTGGACCTGTGGTCAACACCAGACAGGTTGGCTAAAGAATTTTAGAATTTGGAATGTATCCTTCTAAAAGATGCCCTACCTTTGTAATTTATGTACGGGGTGCTGCTTTTAAAGATTGTCCTAAATTGTCAGCTGATCCATGGAAGTCAAGATTGTTAGCAAAGTCTTGCTGATACAAGTCATATCATACCAGGGCTTTAATTTTTCAGTGGCTTTTAGCCTGCATACATACACAATTCAGCATGTTTTTAATAAACTCTTATGCCCCATGTAAATTAATTGACTCGTATGGCTTTCAGAAAGAAGATTTTTTTTTGGTAGCGTTATCCTAATTATTTAAAAAAAAATTCACCACCATCTAAAAGTAATCGTAATTTTGTTGGTCTATGAATTGCTTAAAAGATTTGGACTGTGAACCGAACTGTAAATTCTTTAAATAAGACATCTGCTACCCAAAGAGGATAATAACAGTGAAGCATAGAACTCAGTTGCTGTTGTGTGACTCATTCAAGAACAATTTATTTTTATATATTTAAATATATTATAAATTTAGAAACCACCCATCTCCCTCACAGAGGGACTCTGGGTTGTGAGTGGTGTACAAGTAAGATATGAAAACATAAATATTATATTAGGAGGCAAAAATAGTTAAATTTAAAGTTTAAAAGGGGGGAAGAGGGAGGGTCTTCAAGAGACTAACCAGGCCCATGGCTGCGTGTTCCTTTGGGAGCCCTAAGCAAGTTGGCAGAGCGAGGTCTTCAGACATTTCCAAAAGGCCAGGAAAGTGGAGGCCCACCTCACCTGTTGGGGGGGGGATGTTTCAAAGGAAAGGGGCAATGACCGACAAGGCTCTCTACCTGGATCCTGCCAATCACAATTCTTTAACTGACAGGTCTATAATTTCCTTCTAGACAGCGTCCAGATCTGAAGGTTTCATATTTTGTAGTCACACTTAATTGATTGTTACACTGGTTGTGGCAAAAACCTTGAACCAAGATCATGCTTCAAGCATTTTTAACTGATGGGCTCCCCAACATTACTTCCTTGCCTGATTGGGTGGGATGGGCCATTGTAATGGGACGAAGATGGTTCTACTGCTTGTGTGACCTAATACTGTCCCAGCTAAAGCTTCCAGATACTCTTCAAGGACAGCCCCATGTAAAGTGTATTGCAATAATCCAAACGAGATGAACAATTGCAAGGTTGTTTAAAGGCATAATGAAAGCACAATGCTTTGAGATGAAGGAACCACTATAAACCTATTTATCTTTATTAACTCACATTATTTAAAGCAAATGACTATAAATAAGACATTGTAGTTTTCATTCAGTACTCTGTTCAAGCATCAGTGGCTAAATGTGCTGCATTCCTAATTTGCTTTCCATTTTCAAATCACTGCCTACTCAGTAGCAAATTAACTCATACAGTGAAATATATTTGTAGCTTTTGGCACAGGCTTCAGTTACTACAATGCTTTGAGGTGAAGGAACCACTATAAACCTATTTATCTTTATTAACTCACATTATTTAAAGCAAATGACTATAAATAAGACATTGTAGTTTTCATTCAGTACTCTGTTCAAGCATCAGTGGCTAAATGTGCTGCATTCCTAATTTGCTTTCCATTTTCAAATCACTGCCTACTCAGTAGCAAATTAACTCATACAGTGAAATATATTTGTAGCTTTTGGCACAGGCTTCAGTTACATGATTTTTTTTTTTATAAACCACTTGTGATTTTTATGAAGTACCTTTTAAAATAAATGCAAAATATCCATCGAGGGAGAAAACCTAACTGTTCTTATTCTGGCATTATGTGCCTCAACTTTCTTTGCTTCAAGCAACGAAGAAGAAATCATACAGTGCATTGGTTCTACTGTATAATTTTATCCCTCAGGTTCCTTATGAGTTTTTCTGGGTTACTGAGATCAGAATATCAGTTTATTCTAATAGGCATTTTAAATGAAGAAAGCATACATAGGAACTGCTACATGCGTACATATATTATTCACTTGGGGACTTCTTGAGAAATGACACATTCAAAGAACATGTTAAGTTATGTTGTGGGATCATCATTTTGGCTAGCCACGGACAACCTACTATCCATGGCTTTTATTCAGATGCTTCATTCTTCTCCATGAATGGACCATCTGATGGTGCCAGGATGTCTCTCACATAGATTCCTAGACACAATTATGGGTGGATACGTAAAGTTAGAGCTGTATCCCCTTATACACTGAGTATACAAATATAGCATGTTTGGCCATGAGCATTTTAATGGCAAAGAACAAACGCAACTGATTCCTGTCATCCTGATCATATGGGAAAGATATTGAAAATTCATGGCAATACTCCCATTGCCTTTGATAGCCTTTTATAACAGCAAAAACATGCTCAAATTTTCTAGGCAAAATCTTTATAAATCCACTAATGCTCCTTAGTGTTAGCATATAAAATACAAAGATTTGATAATGCCAGTAGGAGTTGACATATTTCTGTTGCTCACTCATGAGACCATGTTGATGTCATATGAAGTACAACAAAGTGATTATTTTAATTTCTACTGACTTGGGGTTTAGCATAATAAATGCTATAATTCCCTTTCAGTTTGACCCATTTAAAAGATGCTGCCTTCCATCACTACTTTTCAAGAAGTTTTCCTGATTGAGGCAAAATAGATTTCTGGGTTTACTGTCAGTGTTCCTTCTCTTTAATAATTTGGGAAACGTATGGAGATGATTTATTATTTTGGGGCAGTAGGGGCAGAAGATCTATTTGTAGCTCTTTACATGATTTGCTACAGATTAGTAAGGTTCTACAACATCCAAATGTTGCATCTTTTTTAAAAAAAAATATCAGAATTTTACAGTACATTAAAAGTGAAAAAAGAAAGCTTAGCTTTTTGACTTTTGCCCTTTCTATCCAGTAATTACCATTTTACTCTTCCCCCTTCTTCTTTAACCCTTTCTAATTCACAAATTCATAAATCATCAGTCCTCTTAGCAAAATCATGTAAAGCTTCCCGTCTTTTTTTTTTTTAAGAATTATTTTTTCTCTGACAGTCTGTTATAATTCTAGGTCTGAAATTCCTCAAGAACAAATTATACACTCTCTACACTGAGTATCATGGACTTATCCTCTTAGCTACAGACAAAATATTAAAGTCACATTTGAAGTAATTTAGTTACTTCTCTGTAACCTGCATTTCAAATTAGTTGAAAGGATTGAATAGCTTTATTTGCTAATATTAAATTAAAAACTAACACTGAACAGCAAGTTATATAGGATTGTGGGAGAAACATCCAAGGTTTTGGAAGCCTCATGTGCCTATGAGATCAAAAGTGATAGATCCTTAGTGATTTTGATCCACATTTAGTCATAACATGCTTAAGCAGTTCTCGTGGGACTGGAATTAATCATGATTATCCGTCTCCCTGATTTCAGTGGTTCTCTTCTATATCTGGACATATAGAATCCAGTCAAGATTCTATAAGCTTGCTTTAAAAAAAGAAGAAGAAAAAAAGCATACATTTTTCGCTGTGTCATTTCTTAAATAATATTATCTAGTAACAATATTATATTTCTCATGCAGGAGGGCCATATGGCTCTTTAGGTGTGGACTATGAATTTGAAAAACTTCTGTGCAAAATATTTGGTGAAGATTTTATTGAACAATTTAAAATCAAGAGGCCTGCTGCCTGGGTTGATCTGATGATAGCATTTGAATCTCGCAAGAGAGCAGCGGCTCCTGATCGGACCAATCCACTGAATATCACCCTGCCTTTTTCTTTCATTGACTACTACAAGAAGTTTCGAGGTCACAGTGTAGAACATGCCTTAAGGAAAAGCAAGTAAGTCAGAAATTAGTCACACCGTTCTGTGGCTGTTTTTTCTGGTAACAAATCATATGGAGTCACTGATACCTTGTTTTTGGGGGGGAGAGGGGGATAAATGTGCATAATATTCATCATAGAAAACTCCAGAAAGTTTCTTGTGTTTAGTTGCATGACATTGAATAATTAATTCAAGTATATCTGGACAAAATTGCTGACAATATGTTAAGGAACACTAGCATATACAAAGTTCCCCCCCCCCCTTCATTTCCAGCATTAAAATTGTAAAATTACCAAACCCAAACCTCCCTCCTTAACTAGTCCATTACAAAAAAGAAACCACAGCTTTTTCTGTCCCTTCCTTAAAATTGCATTTTGTGAAATTGCTCCATTTATCATGAGGATATAAACTGTTTATCATAGCATCTGCTAATGTAAACAATCTTAAAAGTGGTGTAAGAAGGATGTGGGGGTTTTTCCCCCCTGCTGTTTGGAATAATGTCCCATTAATAAATAATAGAAAGGATGGTGTTGTAACTATGTAAAAGTCAATGGCATATCTTTAGAATTTTTAAAAAGCACCAAATGTCTCTTCTAACAGGAGGGTGAAAAATCCAGGTCTCTGCTACAGAAACATTTCTGTTCACACAAAAGATGACACTTGAATTTCACTAGCTGGCTAGCCTCATTGTCATCATGCTGTTCTGATCCAAAAGACTCACCAACTCAAAAGTAGCTCTTGAGAAAGTGAGCGCCCTTCCTTGTGCAAACATGTGTTTGGCTAGTGCAAAGCCTTTAGAAGCATGGCCTTGCTGTGAATTACTTTTCAGCTGTTAACAAGTGGCAATCAAATCAAGATCTTCCTTCAGATGAGAAGCTCTGCCTGACTACTTTGCAGAGAGAAGGGATGTCAGGCACAAAAAATAAATTACATTTCAGTTGCAGAATAGGCAAGAGTTTCCTGCCAGTTTTAAACAATATCTCCCTTCTAGGAAGTTATAAATGTAGAGGCGTACACAGGAATGTGGGCTGACCTTTCCTTAAAACTTCTCCATCTTGATGTTAAACTGAAAATGGGACTGCACAAGTGAGATTGACTGTTTGACCGAGGGTGGAGTTGAAGGGGCAGAGCTAGTGTACATCCTTGTACTAACCTGCGTGTAGACTTATGAATACTCAGTAGGATCTTTTTCAATCTTTTTCCCAAATGGAATATTGATCCATCTCTTCACATTCCCTCATTCCCTACAAAAAGTTACAAGGCATTCTTAACCTGTACAATGTTGCCTCCCTTGACTTCATGACTATCTCCAAGAATGTTACGTAGAACTAGGAGAGGTTTTTTTAAAAGTTGCTTTCTTTTTTTTTTTTCAGTGTGGATTTTGTGAAGTGGTCCTCTCAAGGAATGCTGAGAATGAGTCCTGATGCAATGAATGCCCTCTTCAAACCTACAATTGACCAAATTATAGAGCATCTCAGTAGGTATTAAGGGTGTATAAGGCTTTAAAATAGTCATTAAGAGTCAGAACATTCAGAATTTAAAGACCATCTCTTCACAAAAATTATTATTCCAAAATGTTTATCATATTGTATTTTTTTTAGTAGTTGTTGAATTTGAATGTATAAGTCTTTTATCGTAAGTCCCACGGAACATATAACCTGAAAAATACAAATTCAGTATGCCAGAAATAATTATATTTGGGTTTAAAGATTATCATTTTTGTAGGATTATCGTTGAGATTATCAGGTTATATATGAAGAACATTGCCCATTTTGATTTATTTACACTATCTCCCGTTATGAACAGAAGTACCGTATATGCCGGCGTATAAGGCGACCCGGCGTATAAGACAACCCCCATCTCTGGCGCCGAGTCGCATGCCTAGAAAGTCGTCTTATATGCCGGAAACGACCAGTATTTCCGGTGTATAAGACGACTTGGCGTATAAGACGACCCCCGACTTCGGCGCTGATTTTAACCCTTGCGAAAGTCGTCTTATACGCCGGAATATACAGTATCAGTATATTCCCCCATAGGCACACATACACACCTTTGTTCCTAGCCTTTTTATCATGAGTTTATTCTCATAAGACTAGATTCTTTTTTTACTGGGTGCGCTTATTTTTCTGACCCCATCGATTTCTTTCTCTGCTCAGGTGATATTTTTGAAAAACCTGAACTGACAAATGTAAAGTTCCTGTTTCTTGTGGGTGGATTTGCAGAAGCCCCACTACTACAACAAGCTGTCCAGATTGCTTTTGGTTCAAAATGCCGAATCATCATTCCTCAAGATGTGGGGCTTACAATCCTCAAAGGAGCCGTCCTTTTTGGTCTGGATCCTGCTGTCATTAAAGTGCGCCGTTCCCCTTTGACCTATGGGGTGGGGGTCCTGAATCGCTACGTAGAAGGGAAGCACCCTACTGAAAAGCTGCTAGTTAAAGATGGCACCCGTTGGTGCACTGATGTCTTCGACAAATTTATCTCGGCTGACCAGTCGGTGGCACTTGGTGAGACCGTGTCCCGCAGCTATACCCCTGCCAAGCCTTCTCAGCTGGTCATTGTGATCAACATCTACAGCTCAGAACACGATAATGTGAATTTCATCACTGAAGCTGGAGTGAGGAAGTGTGGCACACTCCGCTTGGATCTCACTGGAACTGACAAATCTGTGCCAGGCCGGAGGGAAATTAAAACGCTAATGCAGTTTGGAGACACTGAGATTAAAGCCATGGCAATAGATGTTGCCACTTCTAAAAGTGTAAAAGCTGGTATTGATTTCTTAAACTACTGATTTTTTTTTCTTTTTCTTTTCCATGGCCCCCACCACTTATTGTTTCAATGTTTTGTTCACTGGCTGCCAAAAACATCCTGAATTTAGGCTAGAAAGATAAAGCATAGAAGAAGAAAAGCATCAGGATTTTTAATTATTATTTTTTGCTCTTGAAATTACCAATTGAAAATCTGAACAAGGAGTTACCAGGTGCTACCCAGTAAACAACATATTTGAACAACCCAAATATGTAATGAAAATTAAGCACTGGGAGACATATTGCTGTACTTGATGTCTTTCATATGCTCTGAATTTTAGGGCCTAATAATCAAACCTGTTATTTCTACATTTAGGGTACCAACTAATCTACTTTATTTTTTTGGAGCACTAAAAGTGAAATTTATAATCACGATTTGTGGCTATCAGTTTCACAATAGAAATATGTTAAGTCTTCAGCAATTTTAAAAGTCAGCCTCTCTTATTTATTTGATGAAGTAGGAATACTGGAATATAAACATGTAAAAATACAAATGAACAGCTGCTACAAACCAGGTTTAGAAATTGGGTCTTTGTAGCATGAAACTATTTCTTTATAGGATCAAATGATGTGTTGGTTTGGTGGGGGTTTGCTTCTGTTCAATGAAGTTTTAAGTTAGTAAACCTGTTAGAGCTGCAATCTTATTAAAGAAATTGATCCAATAGTAACATTTGGAGGAAGTGCTGAAGCAAGAAGTATACTTTATTTAATTTGTAGAAACACATTAGAACATTGTTTTAGGAAAGGAATTCTTCCTCCCTGTGGAGAGAAGTAGCATTGCACCTGAATAATTTGCCATTTATAGTTTTAAAAGCACTCAGTTACAGTGCTCTGTCCAATTAATTAACACCAACTTTAATTTTGCAGCACTGATGTTTGCATTTCCCCCTTTTTCAATATTGAATAGGAATGCTTTCCAAAGATTAAACCAATTCTGTAAATGAGAAAGTGTCCCTCCTTCCCATTTTACTGTTGGCCAGCCTCTGGCTTTATTTATCTATACCTCTCTTCAGCCAGTTCTTGAACAAAACAAACAAGAGGGTGTGGTAGCAATAGTTAAACAGAGATCATCTCTATCCTCAGGTTGTAGAATGAAAGAATCCATTTTCATTGCCTTTCTCAGCCATGCCAAACAAAGGAAAAACTTCCTGTGTTGATCCTAGGGAATGATATCTCATACAAGCGATAACATTTTCCTAGGACCAATTTAATTATTTGATAAAATAATTCATATAACTCCACATAAGTTACTCAACATTTCATTGAAAAAAAACCTATTAAATTTACAACTATGTACGGCAGAGGTCCCCAACCTTTTGGGCCCCCGAGACCGGTTCTTTGGAGAAAGGGTTTTCCACAGACCGGAGAGTGTGTGGTTTTGTGTGTTGCCTGCATCCTACAGACTGGTTGTTTGTGCGGACTGGTACGGACCAGAGGTTGGGGACCTCGATGTATGTTGTTACATTGTTTACCATTCTCTGCAAAATAACAGCCCTCCCTACATTTTCCCTTTGAAGTAACTGCATAAACTGATATTGAAAAAGCTGAATATTCCTTCTTCTATTCTGTGACCAATAGCCTGATTCCGGAAGAGTAGCTTCTCAGCAGAGGAAAAAGAAAAAAAGAAGTAATTGAGCAATGTTATTTCTGACCAGAAGAGGGAGTACAGACATTATATCTTTGATCACTTAAATGGCTTCCAAGGTACACAACAATACTTTACATTCAATGTGAATGAAGCTTTAACTGACAAACTTATTATCCAAGAAGGGAAAATGAAACATCAGTCTCATATAGAAACTGACTAAAACTCTAGTGCCATCTTGTCCAAACTGATGTCATCCAGTAATGTTGACCTGTAAATCCCAGAATTCCTAGATAAGATGTATAACCAGCAGCCATGTTGTATAGGAATTCTGGAAGTTACAATGTCAAAACATCCTGAAAGCACTATATTGTGGAAGATCCCTAGCAACAGGGAGGCTGCCTCTGCTTAGTCTGTCTAAAGCTGTCTATGCCATGGACAAATCTCCTCTGATACGACTACAGATGATTTGATGAAAATACACTGCCAGCCTAGTGTGTCTTTCCAGGCTAACTACTTGCAAATACGAAGATTGCCTCCAGTTGAGCATTACAATTCAGGCCTTGATAGGTAGCTAATTCCAACATGTTGGATTTGAGGCCAAATTCATGACAGAAGGCCTGTTTTGTCAGGTAGAAGCTGACACTTTTTTTCACAACACTGACAAAACATTGTCATCCATCGAAATCTATTATGCTTTCAAGATGCCTGAAAGCTAATTGTTTAGCTGGATCTTTTTCCCTATTAGCTATGCATGAGTGAAAAGCCATAGAATCATTTTCTTCCTCCCCCCCAAAAAAATCTCAAGATTCCTTATTAAGCACTTACATAATTTAGGGACCAACTTTGCATCATGCAAACATTTTGATTTTCTGGGAAGAATTTAAAGGTCCCTTTGCATTATATCCTATAAATAATATTTCCTGATAGAAGAGAATAAGCTTTGATTTACTATCAGAGGAATAGATTGGGTCATTTTAATTACAGCATCTTATTCCTCCAGTAATTATTCTCCTGGAATAATTATAAAGTATGCATGCTGGCATTTCTTCTTTTATTCTGACTGCTGTGTTTTTAAAAGCCTCCCCCATGAGTGACTGAATGCCTTTCTGTAGCTTTCAAATAAGCAACTCCATTGGAATGAGCTATGAACAAAAATTATTTGATGTATATACAATATTTAAATATTGTACAGATGTTTTCTTCCTGAAAGTAGTATTTTCTTGTACAGAATGATCTTTATCCCTGTTGATTTGCATCAGTGTTTAATTTTAAATAATATAGCTTCTGCCGTGACTTCAGTAATTACAGGCTTTTAAAGATGACAAGGGATTTAATGCACAAAGATGATCTTATAATAAGGGGAGTGGAGTGTCAGGATGTCAGACAGTACCACATTATTCTCCGTGCTACGCAAATAATAGCTTGCAGACTGCCGGATTTTTCATTCTTTTTGCTTTAACAGGTATAGGCTGCCTTAATGCTCTGCATCTGTGCTCTGCTTTGGATAATACCTACTCTATAGAAAGTAGATGATCAGTTACCGCATTATCACACCAAATGAACTCCTGTTTCAAGGCATACGTTTTATTTTAATTACGTCTCTTCTGCAAGACAAAACTGAACCAAAATGAAGCATCAGAAAAGAAGGAGCTCTGGTAATGGCAGATGAGTTGAAGTTCGTACAGGCCTTGTACCATCCTCTGACTGCAGACCACATATCAAGTCAGGAATCGGCTCAATATAAAATCACACATTGGAGGCTTCAGTGCCTGGATAAGCAATAGATCAGTTTGTCAACCATGGCAAGTTTACAATGGGTGGACTTCAATTCCCATGCTTGCTGAGAAATTCTGGGTGTTGAAGTCCACCTGACATAAACTTGCCAAGGTTGAGAAACGCTGCAATATACCAATGGTACATTTTCTGTATTAACGAAATCTATATCCAAAATTGTGGAACAGAGTTGTTGACAGAATCACAGGATCCCATTGTAAGACTACAGCTTCATATTTTTTTTTCCTAGTCCCATGACTACCTTGGATTACTGTTATTGCATTTTTACTTGCTACGTTGTCATAACTTCAATAGAGTGCAGTTTTAAGGCTTAGAATCAACATAACAAGGGCAGAAATAATTAAAAAGTGCGACAAAGCAAGATTTGTTTGCTGTTCAATACTGTGGCTTGAAAAGTCACATTAACTTTCATGAACGATTTTTTGAAGCTGCAACACCTTTTTTTCAGGTGAAAAGGTCAGACTACGAGCAATAGCAAAAAAAATGGCACTGGCAGGAGATGTGAAACATTTCCTTTTCAAAATACAAACCCCTCACATAATGGAGATACAAATTTTAACCCAAAACTGCACTTCAGAAATAAGCCTCCAAATGAGCAGGGGGTTTACTCCCCGGAAATGGGTTTATGAACTTCAGTACTTATAACTTATATCAGAAAAACTGGATGCAAGTAATTTCCATCAGGTTTATTGCAGGAAAGAACATGTTAGGGATGTTTAAGTTATCGGTACTTTTCCCCTCAAACTCTTGAATTAATTGTCAGCTTGTGTGAGGAATATACTTTCCAACATTTCTGCAAATTTCAGTCACTTCAGATCCTTTATATTCTTGCTTATTCATTTCTTTCTTTGCACAAATGCCATCTGGTTCTAACTAAGGAAGGCTGGTTAGAATCAGTTCCCAATCTGAATTGCTTTTTAAAGCCATAGGTTAATCAATCCACTTTTAACAATTTCCCCTTTTTCCATAGTGAACCAAATTCAAAATGGATTCCTGCAACCCCCCTTTCTAGCTTATATTTATTGAAGTATCATTTAATTTTACCTTATTTTTAATGGGTTATATTTCTGATACAGAAAGGTTGATAGGAGCAAGATTTATTTTTGTAATTTTTTATTTTCCCTAAACAAAAGTCATGCATAGCAAGCATCTATACTTCTCTCTGTCTTCATGAATCAAGCTATTAACAAACTAGCTACTATTCGAGGTCCAAAATACTATATTCCTGCATTATTGAGAATCCACAGAGTGTTAACGTGTCTAGCTTGTGAGAGGCCAGAGGTCCTTTAATTTCTGCAAAAAGATTTGTTCCTTTTTAAAAAGTGGATTACAATAATCTTAACGTTAACCAGTTGCTTAGCAGTGCAGAGCTTACATGAAAATACTGCCTTTGGATGGAGACATGTAAGAATCTGATCTGATTAATGCCTCAATGTGCTTTGTTTTGTATGCCTGCAGCCAATGAAGGGAGATAACTCATGGAGGGCTGCTATGCTTGCGAAATATATAGTGTAGCCAACAAACCACTTCAGTTATAATCCTGCCAACAGAAGTACAAATATATTAGCTGATTTGCTCTTATGGGGCTTCTGCTACTTTTAGTTATATATATAAAGCTTTCAACAATTTACACACACACACACACAGAATGCCACTGAATAAGACTGAGGTTTTTGGAAAATATTTTTCCTTCCTGCTGTCAACTCTGCCCCAAACAGCATAATTTTGCTTGGTGTTCTCTGCCACTCAGGTTCCACTCCCCACCCCTGCTTCCTAAAATAATAGTGGAAATAGGATAGATGTTTAATGGAACAGTTTAGAAATAGAATGTGTAATGATGTGACAACTTCAGGTTTTATTATGAAGCACTATGTTACATTTAAAATAAATGGTAAATAAATGCTTGCTTATAGGTAGAATTTATCCTAAGTTGGTAGAAACTATCAAAATGTGAGTAAGAAGCTAAAGTTTCCATAAATTACAAGTTATATCTATTATCTGCTAGTTGCTCGCAAATGGGCCAACTAGGTTGATTAGGTGTGAAAAGACAGGTTCAAGTCCACTCTCAGCTACAGAAATGTATTGGGTGACTTTGGGCCAAAGGCTTTCTCATCGCCCAGCTGATCTCATGGAGTTGTCAGGAGGGAGAAAAATGAAGGAGGAGGTCTAAGTGCACCACTGAGTTCCTGGAAAAAAAGGCAGGATATAAGAGAAATAGATAAATGAAGTTATTCAGTGAAGTAATCTAGTAAAAAAGTTGTAAAAGGAAAGCTTGGTCTACTGATACAATCTTCACCCTGAGCAGCAACATTACATTCTGCTTTCGTAGAAGTTTCTGCTTGGGCAAAATCTTAAGAATTCTGGAAACTAGAAATCTTGTCAATCAAATCTGGGCTTGCTAAAAGATCTCAACCATTTCTCTGCATTCTGTTTTTGAATAAACAAATTTATTAATATTACAAGATCTACTTTTCAAACAAAGGTCATGTACTTATTATAGCAAATTGCAATACTTATGAGAAAAAAAGGTATGTTTTGTGTAGGTTGTGGGACATAAGACCAATCTATACATCTATGCTTGGATAACTTCTAAAACAGATTATAAAAACAATCTGGTTGGTGTGATTTTATTGACTGCCTTCCTTGTTCCAGATTCTTTAAACACCACTAAATTCTGACGATTACAGCTTGTTACATTTATATCTGAAAACACTGCTGTTTAAAATTTCAAATAAATTAGTAAATTATGTTGGAAGTCTTGTGTTATTTTTTTAAAGGCTTCTTGTGTAAAAGTTATTTTCTGTTCTATTCTATACATTATTCTTTAAGCTTGCAAGTATTTTCAGATACTTTTCACTGTTGTGCTTTGCCTAGTATTTAATTATTAAATCTTTGCAATTGGATATTCCAAATTTATTTTTGAAATATACTAAATACTGTAAAATAACCTTATATAAGAAACAAATAAAGGGGGGGGGGAACCAACCCTGAATCCAGAAGCAAAGCTATTCTTTAGTATTTTTGATCTCCGGAAAACTTCCCTTGGAAATTGACATTTCTTCTAATTGATATCCAACATTCCTGAAAATTACAATGTTTTTGAAATCAGAGCGACAAAATCCAACTTTTGATTTATAGTAATCACCATGAGGTTTAATGGTCCTTGCTAACCAGTAAGCAACGCTCTACTAGTTTATCACTCATGATACCTGCTGTGTCATCTGATGCTTTCTAAATAATGGTGGATTTCATGCCGACCATGAATCGTAGATCTAAAATCTCATCACCCTGGTGGTATCCACGTCGAATATATTCTTGTGCAGACATGCTATATCCTTGAAAAACCGAGTTCTTCCTGCTTCAGTCTTTAATGAAACACTGCCTTCATCCAGATCTGGGATGCAGCTTAGTTTACCGGAGTAAAATTTTGAAAACTCCAGATTCAAATCTATTGGCGACTAATTGCGTCTGAAAAAACAATATTGCTACTTTCCTGCTTGCTTAGGAGCAGCGTTCGGGGATCGTTGCAGCACCCAAAGGCAAGCGGTCAATTTGAAAAACTGACCAGTGAAAAGAAGCGCGTTTCTTCCTCTCTCTTCCTGCCCGATCCCTTTACGCACACACCGGCTAAACCGCCTCTGCCCGAGTATTATTATTATTAAACTCCGGAAGTCTCCCTCCCGCCCGTTGTAAAGATCGTGCCGACTGAGGTCATAATGCCGTGGGACTGAGCCGGCTATATTGACCTCTTCTGGGAGGGGCGGGAGAGACTCGGCGGAGGAGTGTGTAGTCGGCAGATACTACGGTGGTAAACGATTCCCTCCTTATGCCTGGCGGGTTCTTTGCAAAACTGAAATCGGGAGGGTGGTCGCACTACCTCTTTTCCGCTTACAACACTTACTAACCGAAGGCGTTAATTGTTTTTCTTTCTCCGACTCGCAAGTTTGCTTTTGCGGAATTGCGCTTCTTAGAGTAGACCTCAAGCCTGGTTATTTTTTCTCACCGTTTTTCTCTCTTCTAATATTCTGCACAAAAGAAAGTTATGGGAAAGCAGCAGAAGCCAATAAAACCTGGGCAGCTGAAGGCTGGCAGCTGAAGGCTAGTGGGAGATATGGGTGATTGTAGTGATCTGAAGAGCTTTGTTAGCTTTTAAAATGGTGAGGTTGAAGGAGAATTTGCTTACCAGAAGCTATGTATGACCATTTAGTTAACAGTTTGCCACATTTAAAGACAGAAAATGACTACCAGATAACATGGGACCAAATCCTGGAAAGTTGGGTTTTGTGTTTTGTGGGCTGGTTCTGGATAGCTCCTAGTTCCCCTTGACTGCTTTTGTAAGCTAAGGGGTCTGTGTTTGCTTGGATGGAAACAAAACAAAACAAAACAAAACACCTCTCTAGAAGTTCCAGGGCTTTTGGTTTAACTGGACAGTTGAAAAATAATGTCCTATAAAAAGGCAAAATCACTTCTGTAATGCTGCCAAAAAAAAAAAAAAAAAGCAACATGGATGTAGTAGTCAACAGGAACTGGGTTTGACTTGAGGGTGCCTGTGTCCTTAAGAAATTACACAAACACTTCTTTTATATGAAGGATAGTAGGTCCTTGTTACCATGGTTCTAGGGAGGGTTTTCTTATCTCTGACATTTGCTGTCCTTCCTGAGCTGTTTTGAATCTGCTTTGGAAGGCTTCTTTCTCATAATTGGTGCCTATATCCATGTGGATGGTCTTCATGACATTAAGATGCAGAAGTGATTGACTGTGAAGAGTTTGACAAACTGGAAGTCAATATGTTTTAAGTAAACTGGCCATTTAAAGGCTTAGTCATATTAAAGTGTGGATGCCACAGTGAGCATTTGCTTTCTGTCATTGTAGCTGGAAAAAGCATGACAGCATTTCGGCGGCAAGTAGATGAATATCATCCGTTGATACCAGGATACACAGGTAACAGTTTACAGCTTTGGCTACTTCTTGGTCATTAACTTGACAAGGATTGCAATGTCCAGATAAAGAGGAAGCCAATGATCAACTTTCTCAGCTCAATCTCTTTGTTACTGTTTAATACATTGATGTACCAATAACAAATGAGATTATAACTTTTATTAGTATTCTAAAGCTAAAAAGAAAGCTTTACATGATCGTATGAAAGGATATTATGTTTAACCAGTAGCGTTTTATCTATATACTGCTAAAGTTCTTGTTCCTTGGAACCTTTAACTGGGCGAAAGAGTGTATCAAAAGGCAAAACTTTTTCAACAAAGGTATGACAAAAATGGCTAACTTACAGAATGTATCTAAAATCTGGGAACCATGACTTGAAGTGAAATTTGGCAAATGTGACATAATTATCATAAAGCAGTGATGGCGAACCTTTTAGAGACCGAGTGCCCCAAAACTGGCCCACCCCCACTCTGCTCTGTCCCCACCACTGCCTTCATGGTCTGCCGCAGATCGCCCAGGCGGCCCTGCAGCACCATGGTGGCCATGCCCTCTGCTCGTGCCCCGCAGCATCATCTGCACACAATGGGGCGTGAGGGTGGAGTCTTGTCTCTGCTACCCAGCTGCCATGTGGTTGGCTGTGCTGCTCCACGTGGGCCGCACCCAGGAACAACTCTCTTCCAGGGGGCTGCTGGTGAGGAGGGGGCTGTGGGGCTGGGGCCACGGTGTGCATGCCCACAGAGAGGGCTCTGAGTGCCACCTCTGGCACTCGTGCCATAGGTTCACCATCATTGTCATAAAGTATTTTATGACATAATACAAAATGTCATAAAATATTTCCTGTGGTCAACCACTGATATTCAACATGAGTTATTTTCAAAGCAGATATATCTCTGGATATCTCCCTGAGATTTTAAGAACTTTTCCAGTACATTAGAAGCTCTGCTATGTTGAAGGCATTGAGTAATCTGGTAAGGAAATCTCTCTGAAACAGTGATCCAATTTCACTATTCACTGAAAGGCAAAGAGCTGTTAGCTAGCTCTGGTCCAATCATAGATGATTGAAATGGATCTGGAATTATTGTCACTTATCAAACTGAAGATACTCACTGCTACTTTGTATGTGTCATGATTTAGCTACAACATTGGAGTCTTTTATGTGCTCTAGCTCAAGGCTTTTCAACCAGTGGTATGGGTACCACCTGTGGTACATTGGCACCTAGCAGGTGGTACGCGACCATCCTAGAAAAGTGGTAGTGGGCGAGGGGAATGAGCTGAATGGTGGCAGCACCGCAAAAGCCTGAGCAAGAGATGGCTGGAGTGCAGGGCTATCAGGGCTCAGCGGAAGCGCCAGGATCAGCTCCAGGCTCCAGCTGCCGAGCCCAAAAGAAGCGCCGATCAGCTGGAATGTTGCAGCATCTCCAGGGTTTTGTGATTACATTCAGATCCTTGGCAACTGATTTATATTTATGACGGTCACAGTGTCCCAGAGTCATGTGAAGTGACCAAAATCTGCTGCAAGCACCCAGCAGACGGGGGTAATAAAAACTAAACACCTCCCACCCCACCCCCGCTGCCAATTCTCAACAGAAATGCTTACAACAATGAAAACCTTGGACAGGAGGAAGAATGCCGCTGGGTGGGCAGGCAGGTGTCTTGCTCGGCTGTGGCTTGGGGGGCACTTTTTTCAGTGCCATTATAACTTCGAACAGTCACTACTCGGATGTTGCCATATCCTAAAAGTGGTACAATGGGTGAAAAGGTTGAAAAGCCCTGCTCTAGCTAATTTGGTAATCTGGACACTAGCTTGCATTGGAATATGTTCTTTCTGGATTAAAACTAGGTTCCGTGCACCACCTGTACCCAGAGTTGTTTAAATGCTCAGGTTGTGGATGAACCAATGTCTGTAAAGAAATAGTAAGGTAGCAGTCCCTAAATTGATGTCTTCCACATGAACTGACTCTCTGTTTCCAAGGATTCGTAATCATCCTGATCTGCAGTTAATACAGGGGCAGTGGTACTATTTCTGGAGATAATTTAGTTGGGAAGCACTAATCTTTAATATGTCTTCTGGAAATACCATCAATATCATATTCTTCTTTGGCCTCTTTCTTTGCTGAGAGTTTCATATGATATTTCAAGGTGAAGTCTATCTCCTTTGTTTTCATTTTCATATCTGTAGTTCAGGGCAAATATAAAGATCCCCAATCTTCCTTTCCTTAGTGACATGCACGCCAGACTTTAATCGTTGCCTTGTGCTAGGTATAATAATTTATATTATAGGGATGGGTGGGAGAAGTATAATGATCAAATGTTATGAATATAAATTAATCACCTGGCAAGAGATGGCAGAATAATATACTTTTGAAAGATATAGCCCCAGAACTAAACATTCTGTTTTATAACCCAATAAATAATCTATCTGGCACACCTTTGTGAATGCAGGTAATAAAACTTTGGTTTTATGATGGACACTCTAATTAACTAATGAGGTTATAATGAAGTAGCTGCTTCCAAAGATATGAACTCCTTAAACAGGATGGATGGCCATTGGTTAGGGAAGTAATAGTACAAGATCTCTGCTTTTAAGTGTTGGATTAGATCATTGTTTCCCAGCCAGGCAACTTTGATATGCTGTTGAGGAATTCTGGGAGTTGAAATCCACAACTCTTAAAGCTGCCAATTTTGGGGACCCCTGTCCTATATATACATAAACAATTGACTTAATGAAAAATCCTAAGCTATCCTATTTTGAAGGTTTCTGAATGGCGCCTGACTACATTTCTTTGCTTTTTGTAGGATACATCCCTCTCAGATTCTATCGTGTTGGAACTAGCTTTGGAAATGATTCTGTGTGGTGTGTTAAGACCTTTCGTGATATTACAGAGAGAAACAATGACCAGATAGCTGAACTGAGGCATACAGCAGCCACCGTGCCACAGCTACCGCCTATTTGCACTAATGAAGAAATATTAAATGTACTTGATGACTATAATTACAAACATCATCCCAATGTGCTGGGTACAGTATACATAATTTATAATAACTTGAATTTACTTAAATCCCTTTTATTGCCATTGTACTTTAACAGTATTGACAAATAATTGCATCTTTAGTTGTTTTGAGTACAGCAGAATCCAGAATATTTGGTTGTTGTGGAAATGGCTGAAAGGCTGTTGGGAGTCTTTGTTAAAGGACTTTTCTCTGAAAAACATCTAGCAATAGCTTATGTTTAGGTAGACAAACATATCTGGCAGTATTGAATATTTAAGATGTGATACAATTCAAGTGTAACAGCAAGCCACAGTAAACAGTAAGTAATATATAATTTGGACCAAAACAATATTTAAATTAAATTATCACTTGAAAAGTGAGGTCAAATAGGAGAAGAAGTATTCTCATTTTAAAAATAGGCTAACCCTTAGAAGATGCAACTTGGTAGAAATGAAAAAGCTAAAAGAATCAAAAAGCACAATGGACATTCATAGTATTTGAGTTATTGCTCCAGGATACAGATTAGGCATTCTATGGATATTCTTTTGATTCAGTTGTATTTTATGATCTGGACACCTAGAGTCTTCAAATTGGAAATGAACTAAACTATAAGACAGTAAATCTTTAAAAACATAACCATGCCAAAGGGAATGTTTCTTGCACTATCAATGAATAATGTAATCATGACTTTACAATAAAAGATGAAGATTATGAAGTCAGATATTTAGATGAGTTGAAGTGTACAGAATGAAGATACATTGGAACAAAAAGATTGTAAGAAAGAATATTTTTAAGCCAGCCTTACAAGTAACCTTTAAATAGATAAATTAATTTGTCAAAATTTTCTTTCAGTTGCTGATTAAGTACAGGGAATACAAATCAGGGTGTGAATTGTGTTCTTAATAGATAGTTTATTAATTGATTAGTCTTACAACTTTATCAAAATATAAAAATAAAATACAGAATTTAATTTCAGGGTATAGTGTCTTTAATATACTTTTTATTGTACACTGTCTTGGTTTAGGGGCTTTGTTCAAAGCCCCCCAAAAGTTGCTTTTTACATGACTCTGAATCATCTTTGGATCTGTTTGTCTTCCTGGCATTACTTGTTTCAGGGATTGAAATCACACTTTTTTGTCCTTTTTGCAATATTGGGTTTGAGATGGCCTGTTTTATTAGCTTTGTTCTTGCTTCACTGCATCTGAGCTCTCGGGAACAAGCAAGCATTTATGTTCAGCCTTTCTGCTAGCAAAGTAATAGAGCCAATGTTATAAGCAAACCCTGTCTTAACTTTAGATTGACAGCCTCTGTAGCAATGTATCCAAACTGATTTCTTTTTACTGCTTAGATGAATAGTTTTAACGGTCTACAACAGTGGTTCTCAACCTTTCTAATGCCGCGACCCCATAATACAGTTCCCCATGTTGTCGTGACCCCCAACCACTTATACATCACCGTGTGCCAGGAACTTGGCCAAAGAAAAGGGAGAAAAATGGCGGACAGCCTTGTTTGGCGACCCCCGTGAAATGGTCGTTCGACCCCAAATGGGGTCCCGACCCACTGGTCTACAAGGTCTTAATTCTTTTTCTGAGTTGTGCCTGTACAAATCCAGAGGCTATGCATAATCTGGATTAGAGGCATTGTAAAAAACATGCTTTCATGTTTTCCTTCTAGAATTATCACTAGCAGAAGTTTTTAATAGAAGGAGAAGAAATGATGGTTTCACTGCAGGATGGTTTCTTCCATCACACTAGATTCTCGTCTTGCAAATAGACACATGCATGCAATACATACTGAAACTGTGGATGGGCAGGGCCCTAGCTATTTCTTTATTTTTACGTGGAGTAGGGACCAGGTTATTAATTTATTTGAATATATTCATTTGAATTGATTACCCTCCCAAATCCAATGGATTATTTTTGATACCCTAGAATTTGTAATATGGGAGTGGTAGAGAGAATGCCTACTACTAGTCCAAATTAAGATGATTGAAGGTTACCTTTATAATGGTTTATGAAGGATCAGGAAGGGAAAGTTCTGTGAAATGTCTCCCAATGGAAGTGTCCTTTGCCTTAAAGGAAGCTGCATATTGCTAATGCTGCCACTGATATCATCTGCTCTGTTTCTGATTGGCATATTCTCAGTATATAATAGCATTGATTATCTTCCCCAAAGTACTCATATTTCGCAAACTCAGTTTTGTTTCTGGTTTCTTTCCAGGAGAACATGGGGAAAAAATAACATTTGAGCTCTTGGCTTTTGGACGTATTTCCTGCTTTCTTCATTCCAACTAGAATTTTGCATTCTAGAAGCTTCAGTAGGAAAGACCTCTTTACTACAAGAAATAGTGGCAAAAACAATGCTCTTTGTTCATTTTATTTTCCCCAAATACCGAAGCTTAAGGCTAAATGACAAAGCTTGGTGTTTTATCATCAGAGATACCAAATTCTGTAGGATTTTTTTTCTCTTTTTGCTCTACTGAAGGGACTTGTGTTACCCACAACTGAGGCAGGCACTGGATGGGAAGGAAAAGTCTCTTTGATGAATTGTAATGAAGAACAGGATAATAGCAATTCTCTCATTGGGGGAGGGGTTTGAGGAGTATTTCTCCCATGTCAAGTCCTTTGGTGTTTTATTTTTCATATGCAAGACTGGAAAGATAAAACATGACAAAGGGCTCTAATAACCTTGCTATTTCACATAGGAGAAACATGTATTGGCTTCTCACTGTGATTCTATGTGAACTTGCTTTGTGTCCTCTAAAAAGCTCAGCTGGAGAACTAGAAAAAATACTCTGCAAATTTAGAATTTTCCACAATTGAGGTTCTACTACATATATTATTTGATTTTTATAAGTGAGGCATACTTTTAGGGTGAGTTTTTCTGTTCAGAGTATTTCATTCCTCTCCTATCACATTTCCCACTTTTACTATAATCAGTCATCAGTCCATGAATACTCTGTGGTCATTAGGCATCCTTAGTTCTTGGACTGTTCTAAGAGATCAAAGACTCTACTACAGAGGTCTCCAACCTCCGGGTTGTAGCCCACTACCGGGCCATGGTCTATTCAGAACTGGGCGGCATAGAGGTAGGCTGGTGCAAGTGCATAGCTCCACTTGCACAAGCAGTGCCCCAAAGACTTCTCTCATGTGTGAGTGGAACTGCGTGCACGCATGTGTGTGCTGGTCTGCTACTTACACAGCCCAGTTCCCCTCTCCCACCCAGCTGGGCTGCCAAGCCAAGCCGCCAAGTCTGAGTGGCATGAGCACACCCTGCTCAGGTTCGCTGACTCATCAAAGCTGCCTGAGCTGGACACCTGATCTGCTTTTGGAGCATTGGGCGGCCTTGGTAAGTCTGAAGGAGCATGAGACCCCCCCCCCAAAGGTTTCTCTTCTCTGCACTAGAAGTTTTTGCAAACAGACAAAATGTTTCAGGGGAGCGATCTTGCGCTGCTTCAGGCCTTCCATCCCTTTGCAAAAGCTTTTGGTCTGGAGAACCCTGAAGGAGTGTGAAACTGTATCCCAAAGGCTTCTTTTTTGCATAAGTGGAGCTGCATGTGTGTGCGCGCCCACTCACCAGCCCACCACTCATGAAGCCTGGTTCCCCTCTTCCCCCTCCAGCCGGGCCACCAAGCTGCAAAGGTCTAGTAGATGTTAGCTCTACTAGGTAGACCAGACCAGAAAGCCAACTACATAGGAAGACTAATGCTACTTTTCTTGAGATTAACTATAATAACAGAATTATCAGAATTCCCTATCTGATAATGCTATACCTTCTCTTTCTTATACTCCCGTAAATTAGGAAAGTCTCTGCCTGAGCCACTTCTGAATGTTATCTTAAGAATTTTTCACCTGCTTTTGCCTAGGTAACAATTCCTGAATATTTCTGTCAAGACCATTTTCCTAACTCTCTACAGCAGCCTTCCCCATGCTAGCAGTTTTCAGATTGGTAGACACCTCCATAAATTTCCCCAACCAATATATATTTATTTTTACAAGATGTGTGCCAGCCACTTGTAACAAATCTAGGCAGCTTACATCAATAAAACATTAATGGCTTTCCAGAATGACAAGAAAATGGGAATCGGCCTGGCCTCATGGAGAATACTATTTGAGAATGCAGGAGATGTAATACTGTTCGGCTTGTGTGCCTTTAGAATCTTGGGGGAAGAGAATTCACACACTTTTTGCTTGGTCTGAGTTGCACAGGCAGATTCAATTCAGAGGAGATGGTCCTGCAGGTGATGAGGCGAGAAATTATCCTTTACCGAAAATATTGGGACTTTGAGTTCAGAGAACTGGAGCATTGGGAAGATTTTCTAAAGAATTATTTTAAGTTCTGCAAAATGTAGAATTTCTTCAAATCTGCTGCTTTTCATCTCTGACTGGAAAAAAATGTGCCATGTAAATGACTTGGGTAGATATTGGGGCAAGGATGAGCCACCCCTGCTATATGGTAGGTTCTTAGTAAACTATTTAAGGGAAGACTTATTGAAATTCTAGGGAATATGCCAAAACTTGGATCTGTTTTTTCAACTATGGTTAATGTTGGACCTGATTTACATTTTTTCCCCTGTACCATTTGGAATCCATGTCAGCCTCCTTTAGCTTCAGCCTCCATTAGCTTAACAATACTTCTTCTTTTGACCATGTTACAGGGCCTGTGGAGACCAAAAGAAGCCTCCTTGAACCACCCATACCAGGCTGGGGTGGCTTTGTGCCTAGATCCAAGGTCACCGAATTTGGTCATGGAGTACGCTATCATGTGATGGCAGAAAACTGCTACCGAGATTTTAAAAACTCATTGGATGGAGGCAAACAAGATTTCACGTAAGTTCACATTGAGATGATCAAATGGTATACATTGCTGTTCTTTCTTGAGAGAATGTTGATGTTATATTACAGAACTGTATTTGTTAATGGATCAGGAATCGTTTGGAAATATAATGTTAATAAATATATAAATTGCATAAGTAATGAACCTTTAAAGCCACAAATGGACTTAAAATGGAACAAGGATTGGTCTTTTGTAATGGTCTATTATTATCCTAATAGTGGTGTAGTAGTTAAGGCCCCAGACTAGAAACCCAGAGACTGTGAGCCCTAATCCTACATTTGGCGTGAACTCAGAGGGATGATTCTGGGCCAGTCATTCTCTCTTGGTCCTAGAAAGAAAGCAATGGTAACCTCTTCCAAAAGCGTTGCCAAGAAAACTTTTAAGAACCTGTCCAGATGGTCACTGGGAGTCAAGACTGACTCAAAGGCAAAAATAAATAATTAAATTAAATTAAATAATTAAATTAAATTAAATCAATATAGAGTTTCCTGCCTCTCACCCTCAGCTGTAATAGTAAGAAAGCCAAATATTTCTGGCAACCAAGCCTAGCCAAACCAGTGTTTGTTGTTATTTATTATTAAGGCAAGAAATTCAGTAGGAGTAAAGCTATTTTGTCTCTGCATGGGTGATTATTTGTGCCAGATAACTATTAAAAGCTCTAGGAATAAATGGTGACAGCCTGACATGAATTTGGATTTTTGTTTTTTAAAAATAAAAAGTAATTAGTATGAGAAGAAAACTATTAGGAGAATTATGAGAAGATCCAACAGGGTGCATAACAAGAGCCAAAAAAGTTGGAAAATGGCAAGAACTGCTAGAATATTGATATACGTTTTATTCTATTCTATTTTAGGAAAGAAGTGCCTGTAACCAAAGAATCACACCACCAGAGATTCTATAGACCTGAAGGAATGATGCCCAAGTACACTGGCCATATTCCACGTAAGGGTTCAGATTTTATTCTTTGAAACCATGATGGGGCACTCAGCTATTGGCCAAACTCACTTTCCTTTTAATAGACAAGTCTGTCCCAACTTTGGTTTAAAGGAAGAATAGACGCAGTGTTTTTCCATGCTTCTTTACAGCTTGGTGATTTTAAACATTGTCTACTGCAACTTTCTCCAGATATGCTGGGGCACATCTATCATCCAGATCAGCACAGGTTTATGCTGGCTAGAGTAGTGAGTTCCTAGAAAACAAATGGTTTTCAGAGCCTGGCGAAATGCTTATGCAGTATCTATTGCAGTATTTCTCAAATTTGGCAACTTAAGAAGTGGGAACCTCAACTCCCAGAATTCCCTAGCCAGCATGGCTGGGGAATTCTAGAAGTTGGTTCACACATCTTAAAGTTGTCAAGTTTGAGAAACTTTGATTTATTGCTATTTTCTTAAAGTAACTGCAGTCTTTTCTAAGACTATATGATGTAGGTCCTCCTGCTTGAGCAGGAGGCTGGACTAGAAGACTTCCAAGGTCTCTTCCAGTTCTATTCTGTTCAAGGGGAAAGTATATGGAGGCCTCTCCTGCAGCTGCAGGAGAATCTCAGAGAAAGATCCCTTGGTTGAAGAAGTTACAACATGAGTCTTCCTACCTGTGCCAAAGCACTTTTGGCCTTCAAAATTGCTATAATTCTAGCCAGCAAAGGCAGAGCTGTGGATGGGGGATGTTATGCTTCAAGAAATATAAATCAGAGCTGGAAAGTAGAGGTGAGTAACTGAGAGCATGCAGCAGAAAAAACTAATGCGTACATCAGTCTATAACAGGGATGGGCAACTGTGACTTATGACCTGTGAACTTCAACACTCAGAATACCCAGATCCTAGAGTTGAAGTCCACAATAAAGGGATCATAGTTGCCCACCCCAGTCTATAAGCTGTACCACAAAGTTGCTAAAGGAATTGATTGATTTAAATTTGTAACCCGAATGTTTAGCATTCAAGTGTGCTCAACTTTAAGCAGAACAATGATAATAAGCGATCATATTCTAACTCCACAAGATGAGTATAAAATAGCAGATGAAATATTTCTGCCCGTGGCTGGATATATTGAAAAAAATCGAGACTAGCTAGTTTTAATGATAAATTAGAACTGTTTCTGCAAGAAATAAATTTGTTTTTATAGCTTCAAATTTCATAAGTAACAAAGCTGATTATGGAATTCATCTGGCAGCATAGACACACATACAGAGTTTAGAATATTGCAGCTGACACCAAAGACAAACATAATGAAACTTTCTCCCTCTCACAGCAGTATGGAGGGATCAAGCTTTCCAACATTAGAATTTTGGTATTTGTCCTTTAGTCTTCCCTAAAGAATTGATAAACAGTTTCTGTTCCCCCAATGGCTGTTGGCTGAGCTTGTGGAGATATAGGTGAAGATACATTTAATATCAGAAGGACTCCAAATAGTTTAATTTGTGCAGTCAGATCCCAAATTGGTTGTACATGTTTGTGTTGGAAGCACCTAACGTGTTGCCTGGTTAAAAGGATTAGCCAGTGACATCACCGTTGCTCATGGGATGCCTGATTGGGGGCTCCTTTCATGTCCCTGTTAATTGGCTGTTGTTTCATTGTGCTGCCAAGCCCTGGGCTCCTAAGTACCTGATAAGCTGATGGTAAATCCAGAGTCCTGTTGACTGACAACCCATTTCCCAGACTTCAGTCATTTCCCTGGCTATCATTGTACCTGTACGTCCAACAATCTTATTTCAATATTTCAACAAGTCTGTTTTTCAAACTACTGTGGAATTGTGGTAAGAAGATTGCACCTACTTGAATGTCTTTCATTCTTTTAGCATGAGATGCAGTCCTTTTAGAGAAACTAAAATCTAAGCCTGTGTAGTACTTTAGGTCTTTTGGCCCCAAAATATATATATTCGAAACAGAATCCAATCGTTTACCAAGGAATTCCCACAGAGCAGTGCTTCTTGATCTCAGACCCTTTAAGTGTCTGATGGACTTCACCACATCGGTATTCACCATCAATTATGCTGAAATTTACCCATCTTAAAGGCCATGAGGTTGAGAAACAAGGCTGTAGAACAGTGGTTCTCAACCTGTGGGTCGGGACCCCATTTGGGGTCGAATGACCATTTCACGGGGGTCGCCAAACAACGCAGTCCGCCATTTTTCCCCCTTTTCCTTAGCTGGGCTACTCCCTTTTATTCTATTGGCTTTTGAAAGCCAATAGAATAGACTCTCTTGAATAGAGTCTAATTCTATTGGCTTTCAAAAGACAATAGGAATTGTCCAGGCTGTCTCTGCCCTGCTGAGCCTGCCAAAAGTCCCATTCTGCAAACGGTGCTGCACCAGTTGAGTAGTCCTCGGCTTACGACCGGTTGAGTAGTCCTTGACTTACGACCAGTTGGGGGTTGCGGCATTAAAAAGATTGAGAACCACTGCTGTAGAACATGATAACATGTAATAACTGCATTCTTTTTGTTGCAATAGTTAATGTGTTAATCCAGCCATTCCACCATAGAAAAGAAGAAAATTAAAAACCAACTGGTGCATATGATGCAAAATATTTGTGTTTTGCAGACGAACGCTCTGGCGTTGGAAGAACATTTGGAAATATATGCAGAAGTTGCTCTGTATGCAGTCACACAGATGTGAACTATGGAGCTTATCTTAGTAAGAAACGTAAAATGGAAAAAGGTCAACACCAAATCAAAGAAGACAAGGAAACCTTAATTGCATAATATTTGAACTGTACCATTAGAAAATTAAAATGAACATTAATGTCTGGAATGGGGCTACTTAAAAACTTTCTCTCTTTGAACAATCATGTGGAAGTTTACAAGTATTTAAAAATTTGTGATATTTCTTATCAATTCCATTTGTAAGAGAGTTGCTGTGCAAGGAGAAAGCCATAACTTGACACATACTGAGAAGTCACTTACTTCAATTGGAGAAAATGAATGATTTCAGGGGCATCTTTGATGAAGAAGAGACTTTGAGGATATATGGACAAAATGCAGTTGTCTTTGGGTTTAAGGAAGCATAAAAACTATAAGGTGTCAACAAGTAAGGAATTTAAAAGAGATTTCACACGAGATGACTTTCTGCAAAGATGAGATAACCGCCACTTCCAAATACATTAGTTGAAGTTTTGAAATAAAAAGTAAAATATTGAGAATTGTTTTAAAAATAATTGACACAAGAGCATTGTCCCAGTTTTTCTGGTGGCAGCTGTGGTCACTGGAAACCAAGAAGAAAAAAGGTTATTTTCACGTACAATGAAATTTCAATCTGTTTTAAAAGAGAACAACTGTGATTTTATAGCAGAAGATTACAGAAGTATCTAACAAGAATGTAGAAATGATGTTTGTTCATTCATTGTTTATCAGAAATTTCAGTGGGACTGATTTTGCTCTTAAAAGTTCTCCATAATTGTATTTATATTTATTCATGCTTAACAAACAAGACACCTTGGTGAAGTTACCTACACAGATGATTGTTCCAGAGTTACTGCATTTTGAGAAAAAAAATCTATATTTAAAGAAATAGTCTATTATCCTGCTGTTGAATTTTGTCATAGGCAAAGCACTTATCAGGTGTTTTGCTATTAAGGTGTATTGAGCAGGGGTTATTTTTAAAATAACAGCTTTAATATTTCAGCAGTTTATATAATATTTTTCCATATGAAAGTACTTTTCTATGTTGATAGAGGTCAGATAATTATGTCATGCTACTTGCTTCGTGCATTATTTGAAATATTTATGTTCATATTAAAATTATCTAATTAATTGCTGTTCTACAGCTGACCCTACAATTTCTGCCAGCATTCCTTCTAGATAAGGATCAGCAAATTTCAGACTTAGACACTTCTTTGATTTTTAACACTGCAAATGTTCACCAACCATACTTAGACATACCATGGAAAATACATGCAAAGCACATGCTAATGCATGCCTGATAGATATATGGACCTGACTGAAAACTTATTTTGTGCACACACATACAAAAAACCTGTGTTTTCCCCAACTTCACTTAAAAGGGATAATATAGTAAATCTGCTTGTTGGATAAAAATCAGTCAGTCCTTGCCAATCACCAATTAATCAACCTCTCCAATCCATGTGCCTTCAGTATGGGTCCAAATTCCCAGAATTCTTAGCAGTAGCCTCCCCTTTCTAGTAAAGTCCACACTTCTGGAGGGCAACTCCTTTGGGGCGATGTATTATGATAAAGCATTTTTTTCCCAATCTTGTGTCCTCAAGGTGACTGAAGTCAATCCGAATTCCAGTCATCCCCAAGCAGAGTGGTTCTTTTGATTGGAAAGGAGATAAAATTGTATTTGGCTTGCTTGGAGAGCATCAGGGGTGAGAAAAAAACTATGTTAAAGTTTTGTGAAGAGATGTTAGCATAATAATAAATAAGTGCCTCACTTAATTACACTTGGGAGGGTTTTTTCCCCTTTGCATTTGATTGCATGGTACCTTGTCGAGCATTTCAGTTTCTGAATCTTTCTGTTAAACTGTTAACCTTTACACTTAAATTTTCCTTCTCAGCCTATAATTTGTATGGTCTGCCGTCAGAAAAGGGAGGTAGATTAGATGGCATCTGCTATGCTGCAAACTGTAATTATTAACAGTGTTTTGCATTACAAATGCACCCTTCAAATTCTTTCCTTTGAAGCTTTACACAGGTAACACACACACTAGGACTACTTCAGTCTGTCTTCTTCAGAAAAAGGTGTCTGTGGGAAGAAGTCCCGCTGAGTGGTTCAGATGTGTTGAAATATTAGATTACATGCAGTTCTTCAAGTGAGAAGTTTGGAGTTGCATTCTGCAAAAAAAAAAAAAAAAACTCCCAAAGAAATTGCTGCCAACCTGAGGGGACTACAGGTAGGCCTTGACTTACGACCACAAATAAGCCCAAAATTTCTGTTGTTAAGTGAGCCATTTCTTAAGTCTCACTTAACAAATTTGCCTCATTTTATGACCTTTCTTGCCTCACTTGTTAAGGGAATCACTGCAGTTGATAAGTTAGCCTGGTTATTAAGTGAAACTGGCTCCCCCATTGACTTTGCTTGTCAGAACATCGCAAAAGGGGATCACGTGACCTTGGGACACAGCAATAGTCATAAATATAAACCGGTTGCCAAGCATCTGAATTTTGATCACATGATCTTGGGGATGCTGGAAAGGTCAAAACTGAAAAATGGTCATAAGTCACTTTTTTCAGTGCTGTTGTAACTTTGGACGGTCACTAATAGAACTGTTGTATGTCGAGGACTACCTGTAGTTTTAGCCATCACTCACTGACAACCATTTTCTACACAAAAGAAAAGGTCCAACTCAGGAACCCCCATCTGGAAATTGATAATATAGTATTGAAAGAATGTGTAAATCGGCATCATTATTGTAAGATATCATTATAACTCAAATGTTCAGCAAGGGAAAATCAATGTAAAAAATGTATAGATGGGCAAAAGAAGCAGGCTCACAAAAGTACAGGCTGTATTGGATGCACATATGTTAACTAATGGCTTAGAAATAAGGGGTTTGACTATGTTTCCAGATCCTTTAAACCAGTGATTCTCAACCTTTCTAATGCCGTGACCCCATAATACAGTTCCCCATGTTGTGGTGACCCCCAAGTGGGTGTGGCCACCAATAAGAGGGAGTAGGACAGCTAGGGAAAAGAGAACAAAATGGCGGACAGCATGGTTTGGTGACCCCCATGAAATGGTCATTCGACCCCAAATGGGGTCCCGACCCACAGGTTGAGAACCACTGCTTTAAACAAAGAAAGTGTTTACTTAACCATAATTTATGGTTTCAACTACGAGCTTAGGAACAAGCTAATATTAAAGCACAATTACAGGTAATCCTTGAGTTACAAGAGTTCATTTAGCGACCATTCAAAGTTACTATACTGTAACGGAATTGAAAAAAGTGACTTATGATAGTTTTTCACACCATTACAGCATCCCTGTGATCACATGACCAAAATTCAGGTGCCTAGCAACTGACTCATATTGACGATGGTTTCAGTGTCCTGAGGTCATGTGATCACCTCTGACAAGCAAAGTCAATGGGGAAGCCAGATTCACTTAACAACCAGGTTACTAACTTAACAACTGCAGTATTTCACTTAACAACTGTGGCAAGAAAAGTCATAAAATGGAACAAATTTCATTTAGCAACAGAAATTGTCGTAAGTCAAGGACTACCTATAGTTGTTCTAATTGTGGGTGGAGATCTGGTGGTGATAGGATAGCTTAAAACATCCGTTGTAGGAAAAAGCTTATATCCATTTTCAGCTTGCTATGAGGGACCAAAACATGTTCAGTATTTACAAGCCAGAACTTGGTTTAAAGGTAATAGAAACTTTACTTTTAGATCATATTGTCAAATAATAACTTGTTCGATATGATTTTTACCTAGCAATGTAGAGATGGTAAAAGACCTTTGTTAATAGGTTTCTTTCCTTTTTTGTTCCCCTTTACTATTTCTGGGATGTTAAATCCTAGGGAATATAGCTCTGCACCAAGGAGATGCATTACAGATTTTGTTCTAAACTACCCCAACACTGTGTTTCATTACAGAAATGTCAGGGTGTTTTCAAATGTTGATAGCAAAAGCTGAATTTTGCTGCCAAACTCTATTGAACAGGCTACATCAGTTTCACAAGTCAAATGTCTCTTAATTGATATGATGCTGATCAAAAACTTTGCTATGAATAGTACAGTGTTAAAGTCTGAAAAGACCCATCAATCTTGCATGCACTTTGAGCATATTTTGTTGCAAATAGCATCCTAATTGATAGGCCTGATTATATGGTGAGGAGCCTAATTTGTATATCACAAACTGCAGTCCTTTTGTTACTGAGGAAGTTGACACCTTTACAAGAGAACAATATATGTCAACCAAAATATATACCAATTAGGCCTTAGTGACACACTGAAATGAATGATTTCAGAATATGCTGTATGTACAAATAATATATGGTTTACAGCCACTTGCATTTCAAACAGCAGTTCTCTTTGTTGCTACTATTTTAAAACTGTAAGCATTGAAAAAGGTCACAAAAATATGTCCATTAGCACTGAAAGCCAGGAAAATGGACAGCAATTTGGTGTTCATTTAACTTTGCATTTGGTGGGATAGCTGCAAAATGTAGCTTGCTTAAACACTACCCAACAAAGGGATTGTTGCTTCACTTCATTATTAAAAGAGGATGTTTGATGGAAACCCATTGTTAACTATGAATGCATTGATGTGGTGACTTGTCATACAAAGCAGTTGTAAGCATGGTGCAAGCAGAGGTTGCTTATCTCTTCTAGTTTCAGATCCTTCCTAGAAGACAATATTATCTTTTTAAAAAATTCTACTTGATTCCATTACCAACATCCAAAGACTGTTTGTAAATTAGGAAGGTATACATTCAAGTTTGCTGTGGAATGGAACAAGTTGCTGAAGCCAACTCACCATGGCCAACTTGTACAATAATATCAAGTAAATGGTGGAATATAATCATTAAAGAAAGTGTGGGAGAATATTTAAAAATAAATATATATATGCTTTTAGTATTATCATGTAATTATATTTTATATTTTATAATTATCATTGTATAATCAATTGCCTGAGTAGATGCTTTGAGTATATAGGGAACATACAAGCCTCAGGTGGAGGAAGGGGGAAGAACAGGAGTTACCATGGGGCCCAGTGTGAGTCACCATCTAGGAATTGTTTTTAAGTACCTTTTGGTGCCTGGTACCCCTACTGGATCTAACAGGTGTAG